CGCTGTCCTAATCTTACTGTGACACAGCATTTTTCCTACTGGTGGAGAACAGAATTACAGCCGTGACCTTGAATGACCTGCAATGAAAATTCCACCCAAACACAAGGTAAGAGGTGAAGACAGTATAGAGCAAGTAAAGCTATATAACTGAAGTTGAAATAGTTAGAATTTGTAGAAATACCACAAATATACTGTTTTAATTTCATGGTTTGCCATTAGGTCCTGTAGTGCTCATACACTACCATGTGTGTTTTTTCCTTAATACTAACAGTTCTTGTCTTTTTCAGACTCTGCCAAAGGTCCTTGTGGAAAACTAACAGCATATATTTTTCGAGTGCTATCACAGGTAGAAACATGGCTGGTTTGTGCATACTGTATCTTGAATCTGGTATTAATTTAGTGTGATGATGGTGGTGGTGGTGGTGATGATGACATGCCTAAATAAAAACTGCAGTATTTCAGTCTGTGCAATAAGAATAACAAGTATACTAATCAACAAGCACAATAACCACATATCAAACTTTCAAATAAACATATTATACCTTTCTTCAAATGAAAGAAAAGCCTTTTTGCTCTTTGTTAGGTTTGTTTTTCTTAATTTTATAAAAACCCAGACAGCCTCTCTCATCTGCAGCACAAATATCCCTGGAGGTCAATCACATCCAGTTGCTGACATGCATTGTTTTGCCCTTGAGTGACTGGCCAGTTTGTGTATAAATCTATGCAGGTATTCAGTGGCTCAGTGGAAGTTGTTGGGAGATTCATTTAGCTTTTGAACTCTAATGGCACGTATTGCAGTGTTTTGCAGCTGTACTTCTCTTTCTCTCTGGGTGTGGGGGTGTCTGTAAACATACAGTAGTGTGCAAGATGTTTGCATGCCTTTGTTTGTGTATGTGCATATCTGAGCCATAATGTCTGTGCTTCAGTAATTTGTCTATACAGCTAAGACAGTGCTGTCCCCAAACAGAAAAGAGGCTGGGTGTGGGAGGTGGGAGAATTTACTGGGAGCTGCACAGACAATGCTGCAGGCTGAGTCATTGAAACAGCTGTGAGCACACTCCCTTGTGCACACTTTCTTACACGCTAACAGCAATAATTTTCACCACAGTCATATTTGACAGACAAGATAGAGCACCTGGGGAAATGGAACAGACCAAATTTACCTATGAATTATGGTATAGTGCTGATTTCTAGGTTGTTGGTTGTTCTCTTGGTGAAGCTGACACAAACTTTAAATTTTAGCTGTGCTAAGCAACAAACTATTACTGGCAACATTTCTAGCAACTTCCAACATCAACGCTTCATACACCTGACAAAACCAGCTACTTTGTGGTGTTCGGCAACCGTATCCCAAAACACTCAACCTCAAGCAACTATCAACAGTTGTTCTGTAATTTGTCTAGACAGCTAAGACAGTGCTGTGCCCAAACAGAAAAGAGACTACATTAACCTAAAAATACACAGCCACCCTGAGACACAGAACAAAATGAACACTCCCAGGGATGTTTCTGCTTCAGTATTCATCTCCTAAATGTGTGACTGCAGTGTGTTCAGTAGCCATTCTGTAACTTTGTCTCTCAGCTGTTTGGTGTTGGGCAGGTAGGATACATTTGGTTTGCATGACTCAGTGGGGTTGATGAAGTAAACATGCTGCAAATCCAAAACTGTGCACTAAACAGACTAAAAGCTCCAGAGAGCTGCAGAGCTGGGCATTATAGAAATTCTCTATTATTTTGGTATTTAAAACTGCTTTCATTTTGCTTTTGTGAACATCAAATCACCAAAAATCTAAAGTGGCATAGCCACAAAATTGCACAGACACTGTTTTTCCTGTAGAGCTGTCCTGGATGTACAGTATAAAATCCTAACTGCTTTTCATGATCACAGGTTGGTATCAGGCCAGGAGTTCCATTAATAATATATTTCTGGACTATTGTAATTCTTTTTATTTCTAAATATGGCTCATAATTTGATTTGGAAGAAGCAGAAGGCATCAACTTTATCTGACAGGTCAGCATTAGCTCTGTGGCTTAGTTTCCAAGCTTCATCAGCAGTTTTTATGTCTCTCTTGTAGGTTTCAGTGCATTTTTGCTTCCCAACAATAAATTTGAAGAAGATACTGCACAGTATTTGGCTTTGATTATTTGTCTCAGTGGCATATAATATTTCCAGTAGGGTGGAGTGCTACACATTCCTCAACTCGTGACTCGGAATAACTTGAAGCATTAAGTATAATTTTAAAATATATGCGTGCAGTGAAACTAAAACAAGACAATTTACTATTGGCAATTAGATCTTTTGGTTTGCAGTTAGCCTGCACAAAATATACAACTGCGAAGACTAATAACAATATGTGTGGAGCACCTCTAACATTTTCTTTGTAAAACCTTAGAATTTATTTCCCAGGTGATTTTATCCCATAAAATCACTGTTTATGGGATGCAGTGCCAAGCTTGCTCAGTCTTACTGAATGTAATGTGAAATGTTGCAAGGTGCATATAAAGTGTAAAAATGTGTGGTACTAGAGCAACACCTAGAGGTGATTGACTGCAATGACACTACAAATTCTTCTGTCTGTGGAAGATTTAACAGCGATTTTATGATAATTATTTTCACATAAGACCGGGTTGAGCCCTTATGAGTGTGGATGTAGTTCAGTATCTTTGGGGAGACATAGCCTTTTGCTGTTGCTCCATCTTACCTTGTTCATAAGATTTAACTTACATTGTATTAACAATAATGGCAGACACTGGCAACTTAACTACATGTACAGTACGAGAAACATGAGCACATGGATTTTATCCTAGTGCACCAAAGTCTTGAAACTGAGTGGACCTGTATGAACCTCATTCTCATTACATTCTCACCACAGAGCAAAATGCCTTCTAAACATTTGTAATATTTACTAAACATCATTTTTTTCACAATGCACTGAGCTGCAGTTCTTCCCTCAGTGATGAAACTGTTCATCTGAGAGCGAAGTGCCTTTTGCAGCCACTCTGATCTTTACACTTTTGTTCCACAGATCTCGGTTTAAAAGTCATGTTGCTATTTTGGCTTAATATCTGACCTCTGGCCTTCCCAGCCATCACATGTCCCACCAGCTAAGCAGAGGTCTGGCTCTATTGGCAGGGCTTGTATGTCCATCAGAGCGTGAATGCCTCTCACAGGTGGAAAGTAAAGGAGGCCTGAATGCTATGCACTGTCACTATCCAGGCTGCTATAAAAAGAATGTGGTATGCTGGCTGGGGCTCACTGTTGGTCAGCCAGTGTGTGTGTGCACAACTTAGAAGGGCTGAGGGTACTGTGTTTGGTTTAAGGCAAACTCAGGAGAAACACTGAAAGCATGACTGCTGTGCATCGTTTGGTTATTGTCCGCCATGGTGAGAGTGTGTGGAACCAAGAGAACCGTTTCTGTGGCTGGTTTGATGCTGACCTCAGTGAGAAGGGGATGGAGGAGGCCAAGCGTGGAGCCCAGGCTATCAAGGATGCAGGCTTAAAATTTGATGTGTGCTACACCTCTGTGCTGAAACGTGCTGTCAAAACTCTGTGGACCATCATGGAGGGCACAGACCAGATGTGGCTGCCTGTGATTCGCAGCTGGCGTCTGAATGAACGCCATTATGGAGGCCTCACTGGTCTCAACAAGGCTGAGACGGCTGCAAAGCACGGCGAGGAGCAGGTGAAGATCTGGCGCCGCTCCTATGACATCCCACCTCCACCCATGGACAAGGACCACCCTTACTACAAGCTCATCAGTGAGGTGAGACAACAAATGAAAGGAAAAGAGGTTAACTCATTTAGAATAAGCAATAGATTAATATGATTTTTTTCAATGTCGAACCATTCAAGAGCAGCTTCAATCAATTAAAATACCATAAAGCAGCTACTGGCATAAAGTAGGTTTGAAAAGCATCAATCTTTGCTCAACAGCCTTTTTAGTTAATTCTGTAACTTTTCTCAGATGTTGTGTGAGTCAACTACCTTCTGCTTTCTACCTCCAGTCCCGGCGCTACAAAGGCCTGAAACCAGGTGAGCTGCCCACATGTGAGTCACTGAAGGACACCATCGCCCGTGCCCTGCCTTTCTGGAATGACGTCGTCGCTCCTGAAATCAAAGCTGGGAAGAACGTTATCATCGCTGCTCATGGAAACAGCCTCCGTGGCATTGTCAAACACTTAGAGGGTGAGCAACTGGACAAAAGTAACAAAAGTAAAAGGACAAGGAAGATTGAAAAAGGCTCTGTGCTGATATGTAGAGCTGAATGTTGCTATTAAAGCAACTCAAAAGACTGCAAAATTAAATTACCAAAGATTTTCATTTTACAATGACTGATTTCATTAAATTTGCAGGCAAGGCCAAGACCTGCTTAATCAGTAAGGTACTTCTTTTTAAACACACACACATAGAGTTGTGGATTACAGTGTGTAAAAATAGCACGCATGAACTCTTCTTACACTACAGCTCAGGGACAGGGAGAGGGCCATGAGTTTGGTTCCCATTACAGTCACGACCTTTATGTAGAAAGGTTGCACTTTTTCAAGAAGTGGCCAGACACGGATAAGCTACTTACACAGGGCAAAAGTAAATGTCAAGATTGGAATGGTACAGTAGGTGTCAAGGTTAAGAATGAGAGAAAGAGGTAGCTCAAGTTTCCTATATCAAATTACAAATTGCTGTCATCAAAATATAGTCAGATGTAAAGAAAGCCTGCCCTGCTGACTACATTTATTATATAGGTTCATTGTCCCTCCTGTCGTCCTAGCTGGGACTTGGACAAGCTCCGTACTGTATCAGTTACATTCCCTCTGTTCTGTCTGCTGATCGGCATGTTTGGTCTATCTCCCCGTCTCTCTAGATATGACTGATGCAGCCATTATGGAGCTGAACCTGCCCACAGGAATCCCAATTGTGTATGAGCTGGATGCCAACCTGAAGCCCGTTAAGCCCATGTCTTTCCTTGGCGATGAGGAAACTGTAAGGAAGGCCATGGAGGCTGTGGCTGCCCAGGGCAAAGTCAAGAAGTAAGCCTGCTCTGGAGGCTCTGTGAGAGGAAGAAGATGAGACTGTCCCCCTTTGTCCTTCAACCTTTTCCTCATATCCATTTGTCCATCCTTGTAGTCCATTCCAACTGGGGAAATGTTTAATGGTTCTTTTGGAGACAGGCCATTTTCAGCATGTTAACCTCCTGTTTGTTTAAATGACAATCCAAGCAAACAGCTTGGCCCCACATTTTATGCAGCCACACATCACTCAGCCCTTTTAAATTGTGGTCAAGCCCTATTTTAAGGGCCTCACCACCCTGGCACAACCAATAAAGAAACCATGTTTTTATGTACGTCTGTATCTGATTAATTCTCTTTTCCCTTTTTTTTTCTTGGGATTATGATCCTTATCTCTTCTTCTTCTTTGGTTGCCCAGTTGTAAATTAGTTGTTTTAGAAAAGTGCAAAGGTGCTGTTAAATCTTATCCAGCAGGTAGAGGGAGGGGGAGGGGGAGGAGAGAGAGAGAGTGTCTGAGAGATAAGTCAGTGGGTTCATGCTGGCAGAATTCCCATGATGCAGGCAAGAGCTTCTATGAGAGTTTTTACCTGTCCTCTACTGCAGCCAGATAATAATGAGAAACACACAGATGGAGTCATTTTAAGCAGTTTTATATTATACAGTGGTGAGTCATTATGTTCCATGATTAAACATTTCCACTGTGCTGGGCATAGTCTCCTCAAGACATTTAATCCCTCCAGTGGATTTCCAGGAACATCAAAAACCTTTTCCTTTAATTTGTCACCCATCTGCATGTGAAGTGAAACACACACTAACAAGACTAAGGGTCCCACTAGCAGCTCTGTGAAGCAGTGCCTTGAGTTAACATTACAATACTAATGTTACAAACCCAACATATTAATGATGACAGCGTTGACATGCTAATATTTACTGGGTATAATACATTTGGTTATGGTGTTAGCATGTCACACAAGAGCATTAAACATTAAACACTGAGACATCTGGTAATGCATTTTTACCATGTTTGATTATAGAACAAATTACCGATTAACTGATTAAACCTGATTATGGCACTATATGAAAAGTTAAGAAATCACTACTGTGAGTACATTTGATCCTAAAGGTAACATTGGTATCTCTGCCAAATTTTAGGGCCACCTATTCAACAGTTAAGATTTTTCAGTGTGGACCAATGGTGTTCTAACAGACTGACATCACCATGCCACAAGTATGACTACAACACCTTAATGAGTCTGTGTCATTTTGAAGTTTTCTTTTTCCAACAGAATTTTACACACACACGAGTGATTCAGGCACTGTATGTGTAGTCACCGCAATACTGTCATACTTTCTTTCATTTCTGAGTTGAAGAATCAGCAGCAAATTATGAACAAATTCACCACAAATTGCATATTTATTTCAGGATTGGCATGGTCTTACGGTTTATCACCATAACATGACATGGCAATTCTTTCTGAGCAATAGACAACAACATATTAAATTACAATCATTACAAAAACACATGGTATCAGACACAAACAGCAGAACAGAGTACAGCAGGACAGCAGGGAGGAAGTGAAGTTAATGCTCCTGGTTCAGACTTGCATGCCACCTACTGGCCACTAACAGTAACACCAGGTAAGTGTGAGTGAGTGGGTTAAAAAATTGTTTTACCTAATTTCACTCCACTAATAAAAAGTTTTAGTCTTAGGTTTGTATGTCAGTAAACATTGACAAACAAGTTAAAATAAGAATTTTGTTTCTGTGACAGACAAAATTTGTCTTTTTTTGACACATCCTTTTACAGTAACTACCCACAGGTAGGTTTTACAAGTTGGCTTGCAAGGCTTGTCCACAGTCTCACTTTCATTTGACAGGTAATTATGATAGTGGTTAAAATTCAACATTTAAATTAAAAATAAATTCATCATCATCCTTTGGAAAGAAGGTGTCTGAGCCAGCAGGCAGACACTGAACTGTACCAAAATTCAGGAGAGAAATGTTTTCCACCAGGCAGAGGCACTGATATTGATCCAAGTTGTTTGATGCGATTAATGTTCAAACATGACCAGGAGCTCAGCTCTGGTTTACATCTGAGGTGTTTTGATCAGTAACATTTTTAGCAGCACTCTGTCTCTTGAAGGGCTTGAAGATTCCTGGGAGAGACGCTATCTTGTATGGATTTTTCTTGTATGTAACGGCTTTACTGATTTCTTCTTTGGATGTACATACATACTCTGCAGCACTCGTCACGTTCTTTTCTATGTTGTTGATCAACTCCCCCTGGTAGAAGAAAATATATAATTGATTTTGCTCCCATGAAAAAGAGTATTCCTTCATTACCAAATGAGGCAGCCATCTTACTTGGATCTCCAGCAGCATGGCGGTGTCAGTGAATATGTCATGCAGTTGCTTGATGCTGGACTCGAGGCTGATGATATCCTGATGACGAGATTCAATCTCACTCAGAGCCTGGCTTGAAATCTGAGCATTGGAGTTGATCTGTGGAAGGAAAGGTGCACCAGTTGTTTGAATAATCATTTAAGTAGAGTCACATTACATTCTAACTGCATATTTGTGTCTGCATCAACAACAAAAACAAAACTACAGCAGGTATTATTAACTACTGCATAACCATTACACTAACATCTGATATGAAGATGGCAAGATTGTCATGGTGCAACATCTCCTCCAACTCCTCATCTGTAGTCGCTTTATCCACTGAAATAAAAGTTAAAGAAGCTGTTCAGGTTAGTTTAATAGTCATCATTTAAAAGAAAGAATTAAATTACCTACCATAAAATAATCACAATATCATGAGATATGGGGTTGTGGGAAGAATTTTCACTAACCACGAGATATTACAGTCAACATTTTTGAGCTGTCTTTACATATGAAGAAACAAGAAATGATGATCTATGTAAATGATTCAAAATAATTAAGAAAAAACTGCAATGAAAAGACCAGGGACCTTCAAAAGAAGCATGACCATAACCTAACAGCTGTGCATTTAGCTTTTTTGAATTTAAATTAAGCACTGGCTTTACCACTTTAAATGGTGGCACAATTTATAATCTAGGCTACATAAAAAAAAAAAAAGATAAATAGTAACTATTAATTTTAATATTTTGCATGTTGGGTGTAGTCTTACATTTGACCAAGTGGGTTAAGCATACTGAACTATGAAAAAAGAACTAAAACACTGATGAGGAAGAGGAAGTTGAAGATAATCAAAAGAGACTGCAGTAGTGGTAAGAATAAATAATATTAACCAATATTACCATCCTCTGACTGTGAAAGGCCATTGACATAGAAACAATTTGCACACTGCCACAGGTTGTCTTACTAGTAAACAGCTGGCAGACATCCCTCCTCTTAAAATTTGACTGTGTTGATATAAGATCCGTGTGTATGATATAATATCCTTTTACACTACACTGAGCTGACTGAGAGGAGAAACACATGTTTATGGTTTGGGTCCCTTTGTTTCTGGCAACTCACCAATCTCCAGTTGTCTCTGAATTTGAGCCTTGCATTTCTCTCTGAAGGAGATTTGTGCTGTATGGTAGCCCCTCATGACTTCAGCAAACCAACGAGTCAGATGTGAGTGCTGGTGAAAGGCAGATGACAGATTTTGATATCAGGTTATTGAGCTAAAAATCACAAGGTATTAATATCTTGTATACAAACCACTGTCAGTATTGGTTTTGTTTGTATCTCTTAATTGAAGAGCTGGCCATCTTTGTGCACCTGGCTCATTAGTCACAAACCTGGTTCTTTTGAATACGCTGGATTACTGAGTCACTTTTACTGTTCTCATCCACAGACATGTTCTCCTGCATTGCTGAAAAACACATAAGAAAGATCTCATATGAATAGAAACACAGGATTAAATTAAAACCTCTACAATGTCATGAAAAAAATCTTCAATACATAAACTCTGCACCACAGGGCAAACGGTTAGTTGCTCTGTGAAATGGTGATGACCAGCAGTAGAGCAGAGTGCAGTCCCTTCCTTTTCCATCTATTTGCAAGTGAAATCTTGTTACAAGTGTGATGTGCTGTATAGTTCCTCCTCACTCTCACTGTGATAATACACAACCATACATCAATAATACCTGTGTACACTGAAAAGCTTGATGTAAAACCTGCTGCATCTGCACTAATGTGGTATGTCCCAAATACACTATGAGTCAAAACAGTATCTACTGTATAAAAGTGCATATGAAGTATCTCCACTCACAGTTTAACTTGGCTCGGACCAAGTTTGCATTCTTCTTGACCTCACTGTTTAGCAGCTCCAGTTCCTCTTTATTTCCTAAGAACACCGTAACAGGTTTTCTTCATATTTCATAGACGCAATCATTTCAGTTTACTACAGTGGTTTCAAAGAGCTTTTCAGACCCGTTCTCTTCTTGCACACTTTCTGAGGCAAATGAAATTTTACATGAAGAAAGATTTTACAATGAGAAATCTGCTCATTTTTACAAAATGAAAATTAGTTTTTAGAAATTTTAGCAAATTAAAAATCAAACTGAAATCTCTCATTTACAAAAGTATCCAGACTCTTAATTCAGTACTCTGCAGAAGTCTCTTCGGCAGCACTTCACATCCTCGGGGTAAGGCATTATTCCATTCTTCATAGCAAATCCTCTCGAGTACCATCAGATTGGATGGGTAGTATCTGAACTGCAGTTTTCTGGATTCTCCATAGACATTCTATGAGGTTTAGGTCTTGGGTCTGGCTGGGCCACTGTGACAGTCCTAAACCTGTCCTAAAGCCTCTCTGGCATGTCTTGGCTGTATGCACTGGGACACTGTTGTGCTGAAAGGTAAACCATCACCCTAGTCTCAGTTTGGCCAGACGCCCAGGTCTAGGAAGAGTCCAGGTGGTTCCAAACTTCATCCATTTCACAGTTATTGAAGCCATTGTGCTCCTGGGAACACTCAACACTGTGGCTCGCCAAAATTTAATCACAGAGGTCTACAGAGAGTTCCTTGGGCTTCATGGCTTAGTTTTTGTCATGACATGCACTGTGAATTGTGGGACCTTATATATACAGGTGTGCGCCTTTCTGAACTATGTCCAGGAAATTCAGTTTGCCACTGGAAGACTGCATTCAAGTTATAAACACATGTCAGGGATAATCAGGCAACAATTTGGAGTCACAGCACAGAGTCTGAGTACTTTTATAAACAAGAGCTTTCAATTTTGATTTGACAAAGTTCACAAAACACAAAGTTTATACATTGTCATTATTGATTGTAGGCTGATGAGCAAAAAGTGCCAATTTTATCAATTTAAGATGAGATCTACAACACAATAAAGTGTGCATATACCAGCTCACTTTACTGTAAAATTTAGCTAATAAAAACTTAATCAACATTTCTGAGTAAGAAGAATTATGAACAGATTTTGAAACCATATTGAAAAATTGTTTTACTTATTTTCTTTTTGGGTTTATGCGCTAATGTAAGATCCAGTATGTATGTGTATGCAGATTCAGAGGTGGAAATTAACTATGTAATTTTACTCAAGTACTGCACTTAAGTGCAATTTTGAACCATCTATCCTTTATGTACTTGAGTATTTTAATTTTCTACTTCCTACTTTGCCTTCAATACATTTCAGAGAAAAATATTGTACTTTTTGCTCACTATGTTAATTTGATAGCATTAGTTACCTGTTACTTTTCAGAATGAGGTTAATAAAACAAAATACAGCATAATCAAAAATGTATTGATCCTCGGTGTAAAATTCACAAGCTACCCAGCAGCAATTCAAATCATAGCCCTACATTTACCAGCTGCAACATTAAATGTGATGTACACAATAATACATGACTATATATAATCAAATAATAATATGTGTATCAGTGCATGCTGTGCCATTTTGTATGAGTACTTTTACTTTTGGTTCTTTAAGTATATATTTTATGCTAAAACCTTTGTACTTTTACTTGTGAACTGAGTATTTTTACACTGTGGCACTGCTGCTTTTTGTGTAAGTAAAGAATTTGAGTATTTCTTCCACCACTGGATTCTTGGTCTAAAATATAAAGGTGTGTTTGTCAAAGGTTGCTGAGCCGTTGAGCTTCTGTTGCTCTGTTTGTCTTACAGTGTTGTGTGCCCTGGAGGATATGTCTGCAGCAGCACGACAGGGGAGGCATCATATTTCTATAGTCTGTAATTTGAAAACTTATTAAGGTCAACGGTGAAACTCAATATTTATATCTTGAACTATGATAAAGTTGCTCAGTACTTACTCCTGTCTTGATTTGGAGAGGAGAGGATGGCGCCTTGTCTTCTCTCCACCTCCTGTGCTTTACAGGATATATTTTCAATGAGGCTTCTCACCTCCCCCACCTACACATACAAAAGCTTAGCTTATGGTCAGTAGAAATAATGATACAAAACACACGCAAACTGTGTGAAGTTCACCTTTTTGAAAAAATCCTCCATTTTGACTTTGCCCTCTTTTGTCTCTCTTATACCATCCTGCTGCTGGTAAAAAAAGAGACAGAGATAAAATGCCACCTGCAGTATTTCTCCAGATCCATTACATTTTGAACAGCATTAATAACGGCTATTTAAGCCTTTAAAGAAAACAAAAATCCTTATAATAAGCTTCCTCTATAAAAACCCTAGCTATTAGCCATTTTCTTCTACTCCGCCCACGGACTTTCAGTCTGTTAACTTCTAAAACCTGTTGCTATAAATACTGACAGCATGAGCTTAACAACAAAGAAATCTAAACACCTCCTCGATTTTCTGTTACTTTCGATATTCACGAGAAGACTCGACCTTGTACCTGCGAACTGTCCTGGTGTGGGCTGTGCCGAGCGCACCTGTATAATAAAAACCGCGGGCACGCAGGCGCGTTACCGACCTCGCTAGTAAACAACCTGTGTGTCCTCAGGCTAAAGTAGACACACAGAGAAGGAACACTTGTTCACTGTGTAAGATAAGAGACCAGTGAAGCGTTTTGCTTGTCTCCCGTCTGCGTTTATGCGGTGGAAAGCTCGACTGTGATGAGTGTATGAGGTGTTATAGTCTCTCCGAGGGCGGGGCTCTGTGCCTACATGACGCCCAATAGGCTGTCTCCTGATCAGTTAGGGACTTACCCAGGTTCCTTTGTCTGTGTTATGGTACTCTATGGTAGGTTTAATTTCATTGTGTTGTCATTCATCCAGCTGAAGAGCATTAGAGCAGCTAAGACTAACCTACAGCATGGGGTGGACATAACATCAACAACTGATTAAACTGCAAAATTCATGCACATAAAGGTTTGATCAAAACGTATCAGTACAGTTGTGAAAACACAAACACACACACAGAGTCACACACCATAATATACATTAGACCTGCTTGTTACAGTAAGTAAAACACCGGTGCAGTGAGGGCAGTTTCCTGGCCCAGCTATTATTCTATTATATTTTTATATAAGTCTGTGATGCTGCCTCACTGTCATGTCACTTGAACAGGGTCATTGTGTTACTAGTAGCATCTTCTACTTACTATGACAAGTCAAAATGCATTAATGGGGCGGCTGGCAGGGGCTTTACAGTGGCTTTGGTGTGAGTACACAGTTTATTTCTGGTTTTATTTTCAGCCGTTTGTTGTTCAGTAAGCATTCTCCCTGGCAAAAACAAACATATCAAACTAAATAAGAAACCTCATCAGGTTGTGTTGTTTTTCAAAAGCTCCATTGTCTATGGGAGTATATTCATTGAGTCGCATTCACTGTGTTAAGAAAACTAATTCTACCTCTTTTTTCATGAATACCAGCACTAGTGCCAAATCAAGCTGCAGCGTCTATGCCAGCCCTTATTTGTACTATAGTGCAGTGGTAAAATTAAATGTCCTCCTTCCTTCCTGGTCCTCTTAACTCTGCCTGGGCAGTAACTGCAAAACTTTGTCAGTTTACACAGCTGCAGCTTCATAGCACCATGGAAATGTTTTGTTGTGACATATGTTGTACTTAGAATTTGTTGGAGGAAGTGTTGTGTATATATTCCAGTGAAGCACAGAGACAACCGGTGATACTTCAAATTAATATGATGCATAGAGCTGTTTTCTTGGTCTTTGTGTAAATAGTAAGCTCGGGTAGGCCCCTCAGGGAAAAAAAATAAAATAAATAAAATAAAATAAAATCCTGTTAGGCTATGCTCTGTAAAAATCTCTTTATGTAGACTTACAAGCACTAAGGTTCCTTTGCTTCTGCTTCTGCTTCTGATGGTGCCTGTATTATACCAGTGTATAACAGTCGCAGTCAATAAAATGAATTTGATTTGGTTGTGCAAAATAGCAATAGCTAGCACTGAGAGTACTAATACTGTTAATGCATGGCCTATATGTCAATAGCACTCTGTACACTGTTTAGTTAAAAAAAGAATATTACTGTAGCAAGCTTTTTAAACAAATTATAATATTACCAGTAACAAATGAAATAAACATCCATCCATCCATCCATTTTCCTCCGCTTATCCGGGACCGGGTCACGGGGGCAGCAGTCTAAACAAAGATGCCCAGACTTCCCTCTCTCCAGACACTTCCTCCAGCTCCTCCGGGGGAATGCTGAGGCGTTCCCAGGCCAGCCGA